ACGTGTGCAGGGCCACCAACCGGCACGGGGTGGCCGTGAGGAGCGTCATTGTCACCGTGGAGTGTGAGTGACCGGCGGGGACAGCGGGGGGACACCGGGGATGGGGATGGGATGGGGACAGGGATGGGACTGGGATGGAGACGGGGACAGGGATGGACACGGGGATGGGACGGGGATGGGACAGGGACGGGGAAAGGGACGGGGATGGGATGGGAATGGGGACAGGGATGGGACAGTGACGGGGACAGTGACGGGGACAGTGACGGGTGGCATCGGACGGAGCTGGAGCTGCTGTCCCCGCCGGCATCGCCGCGGCTGCGCTTGGCCCGGTCCCAGCGGGGTCGGGGCGGATTCAGGGGGGTCCCGGTTATCCCGGGGGGGTCGGGGTGGCCTCACGGGGGTCACCCGGCATTGTCCCCACCCCCGGTGACTCCAGACCGGCCGAGCATCGGTGACCGCGGCTGTCCCGAGCGGCGCCTGTGGCTGGAGGGGACCGCGGCCGAGTTGGGCTGCACCGCCAGCGGGAACCCCCCGCCCCGCGTCACCTGCGCCAAACTGGGCGACAGCAGCGACAGCAGCGACATCAGAGACAGCAGAGACATCAGCGACACCAGCGACATCAGCGACAGCCAGGACCGGCTCCGGGTCACCTCCAATGTCACCCGCGCCGACCTCGGCGACACCCGCGACAACAGCGACAGTCGCGACCCCTTCGCACCCACCCCTAATGTCACCCGCGACAGTCGCGACAGCCAGGACCGGCCCCGGGCCACCCCCAATGTCACCCGCGCCAGCCCGGAGCCGCCCCGGGCCACCCCCAATGTCACCCGTGCCCACGCTGGCACCTACCAGTGCCGGGCCACCAACGCTCACGGCTCCGCCGTCCGCAACGTCACCGTGGCCGTGGAGTGTGAGTGCGGGGGGTGATTTTTTTTTGGGGGGAAAAAGGTGGATTTGGGTCAATTCTGAGCGCCGGCCGCTCTCACCCGGGCACAGACGGCCCCGCCGGTGTCACCCTCCGGGTCCTGCCCTCCGCCAACGTCACCCGCGGCAGCGGCTTCACCGTGGACTGCGGCGCCGAGGGGGTCCCGGCGCCCACCTACAGCTGGGCACTGCCCCCCGCCCCCAACCTGCGCATGGCCGCCGACAACCGCTCGGTGACGGTCACCGCGGCCACCACGGCCAACCGCGGCGTCTACACCTGCACGGCGAGCAACCGGCACGGCCGGCGGGCCGGCAGCGTGGTGGTGCGGGTGGACGGTGAGAGGGGAGCGGAGGGGAGGGGAGGGGGCACCGCGATGGCGGCGGAGTGATCGGTCTGTGCCCGGTGTCACCGGGATCCCGGTGGAGCGATCGGTCCGTTCCCGGTCCGTTCCCGGTGTCACCGCGATCCCGGCGGCGTGGCCGGTCCCTGCCCGGTGTCACCATCCCGGCGCCGTGCCCGGTGTCACCGCGATCCCGGCGGTATGGCCGGTATTTCCCGGTGTCACCGCGATCCCGGCGGCGTGACCCGTCCCTGTCCGGTGTTATCGGCCCGGCGGTATGGCCGGTCCGTTCCCGGTCCGTGCCCCGTGTCACCGCGATCCCGGCGGCGTGGCCGGTATTTCCCGGTATCACCGCGATCCCGGCGGGTTGGCCGATCCCCGCCCGGTGTCACCGCCATCCCAGCGGCGTGGCCGGTCCGTGCCCGGTGTCACCGCCATCCCGGTCCGTGCCCCGTGTCACCGCCATCCCGGCGGAGTGACCCGTCCGTGCCCGGTGTTATCGGCCCGGCGGCGTGGCCGGTCCGTGTCCGGTGTCACCGCGTTCCCGGTGTCACCATCCCGGCGGCGTGGTCGGTCCGTGCCCGGTGTCACCGCGATCCCAGCGGATCCGGTCCATGCCCGGTGTCACCGGAATCCCGGCAGCGTGGCCGGTATTTCCCGGTGTCACCGCGATTCCGGTCCCTGCTCGGCCCGTGCCCGGTGTCACCACGATCCCGGTGTCACCGCGTTCCCGGGGGCGCGGCCGGTCCCTGCCCGGTATCACCGCGTCCCCGGTCCCTCCCCGGTGTCACGGGTCCCTCCCGCCCCGCAGAGAGCTGGCTGGTGCTGCTGGCGGCGCTGGGAGCGCTGGGCGCCGTGGCCGCGCTGGCGCTGGCGGCGTTCACCGGCTATTACCTGAAAACCACGGCGTGCAAGAAGGGCGAGTACAACGTGCGCGACGCCGAGGGCTCC